ATAGTTTCCATCAGAGCATTCAATACATTGGATGAGATATATTACATTTCTGGAGGTTCAGGTGAAAGATCCAGGAATGGTGATGGTTCACAGTTACTATGAGAGTGGTGATGTGTTGGCAGGTTTTACATTTCTTCTCATGCACATTATGGGATAGGGCTGTGGGGCCCAATGACCCTGTGCCCTGTGAGACTGAGCTGTGAGGGCACGGACTCATGTAAGCCTAGCAGTCAGCAAAGGTCGCCCAATTGTCGCCTGGCATGTCTTGGTGTCAAATATCTTCTTTTTCAGGAGGTGGTCTTTTACATTGTGTGCAGTCATGGATTTGCTGGTCTGGTTCTTCTTTGGGGCTCCACCCTGTCCTAGCACTACCCTCTTGTTACAGTACATGTTGCATCCTTGGCTCTCAGTGGGTGATCTCCTGCTCTTCCTTGCTCTTGTGGGCCTGCATTCACCCCAACCCTGACTTAAGACAGCAGTGGCCAGGCTGCTCCATGGTTTGTTCAGTTGTGGCTTGATAAATGAGAGGGAAATGAAGGACAACACAAAACAGGAAAACAGAACTTGGGTAAGTCTCGGTTCCTATGTTCATTGTGACTGCAGGCTGCAGCTCCTACCTCCAGGGTAAGTTAGTCCTGAGGGGTGCTGGCCAATCCTCAGCATCTGGCCCTCATGCATAAAAGAAATACAAAGAGAAATATTTGAGCATTCCCTGGCCCCTTTTGCATACAGCTTAGGCCCTTCTTAGTCTTGGAGACTTTGGTGTCTGTCGTCAAGGCTTGCACGGCACCTGCCAGCTCCCCAGGTGTGGCAGGCCAGCCTGCCTGCTCTCATCAACTTGCCTCTTTATGAGCAGAGGGTCAGTTTGCTGACTAACATGCCACCAGCACAGGGTCGGGGCCGGCTCTTCCTTTTCCCCTTCCTTCAGGTAGAAATAACTCAGCCTCCCTGGCTCCGTGCCGAACAGAAACAAAACAAAAGTAACTGAAATAGAAATAACTTGTTTGGGAGTGTTGCTGGCTCCTGCAGCTGCCCATCCTCCCAATGTGTCTCCTCGCCGGCTCTTCTGACAGTTCCTGCTGCTCTGGGGTCCGTGGTGGTGTTTAAATGATCACAGCTCATCCGGGCTCTTAAGGGGAGCCTGTCCAGGCTCATTTGTGATATTGCTTCTCTCTCTCTGCAGTTTCCCCACTGGCACCTTGGCATTTCTGGAGCTGCTCTGTTGCCCAGTGTCCATCCTGTCTCCCTTCTGGCCCTGGCAGTGGGGCAGAAATACCCAGGGCCAATCCTGATGGAGCAGCTGCTGATAAAGCAGGGTTCCCATGGTAGCTGCGGATCCCTTGTTAATTCCGGCTGGGTTAGTATGTTTTCGTCCCTCTCTGTGGGCCAGAAGAGTTTCCTCTCACTTTGTATCCTGGCATAGTCTGGATCCATTTGCTGTGCTTTGGGACATAGGAAGTTTTCTTCTGGTGATGAGTTTGGCAAGGTTTGGTGCCTGTTTAAAAGCTAAAATGAGTGGTTCTGGAAAGATCTCTTTAAGAATTGGGTCTT